GCTGAATGCTGCTACACAAACCAGTACTTCTGCTCCTGCACCGCAGTCTTCTGTAGTGATTGCAGAGGGAATCTGGCCCCTTCTTTATCACACTTTCTTCTCATATAATTCCATATAATTTGAAGGGGACAGATGTCTGCTACCTTTACACACCTTGTGTTACAGACTTCAGGTAAAAATAGCTAGGCCTGTTGCCGTGCACATCAGTGTTATCTAGTTTTAAAACCTACCGAAAAAGAAGGCACAGATTAAGTATTTTACAATCAGTAGCTGCTGCCTCTTTCTTCCCAGTGGTGTGATCTGTTTGTGTGTTTTTTTCTTAAGGAAAATGCAAGAATTTGGGGATGAAATATTAGGAGACATATGGTGAGTAAATGTCATGGATAGGGGGAGGAGAGAATAATAAATTTTTTTAGGAAAAAAACTTTGATTTAACCTTGACTTCACGACTGAATTGAAAAACTAACAACTTCTGGTTTTTTTTCTGTTCATACCACAGTTTAAAAATGCATTGAAAGCTAAGTTGGGGTGATCTTTACTTGAAGTAAAAATGTAACAAAAGAAATTGTGAAAGGGAGTTAGCAGAAGGAAAGATACTGGTGTATCATGAAACAGATTTCATAGCAAAACTAGAGAAACTCAGATTTTACTGAGTTTCCAACGTTACATCTCACAGAGACCAAGATGACTTGGATTTAGCCTTGTATTTTCTATATCCAGGTTTTGGGGTGGGTACCTGAAAAAATTCCTATCTAAGGCATCCGACATTCTCATATCTAAGTGTCTTTGTGGAATTAACCTCCTTATCTCTCAATGAGTTGTCTTTTCCTCCCTTCCTTCCTTCCTCCTTCCCTCTCCTGTGTTTCTGTTCTTTCCCCTCCTTCTTCCCCTCTTTTCTTTCTGTCTCTTGTTTGATACTATGGTCAGCTAATTCAAACAAGCAAGTTTCAGCGGTGTTTAACACTGGTTAGTCTTATCATTTCATGTAATTGGCTGTGAAGCATTTTGCCCGAGTTGCTAAATCCCTTTTCTCTGAAAATAAAAAAACCCAAGCAAACAAAATGTGCTATCACTTTTTTGGCAGCATCTTTAATCTCAAGTTTGGCATATTTGTATTTCCTAGCAAATGCATCTATCATGTCAGCTATCATGGAATGAAAGAGAATTCTCTAAGGAACATTTTAGCTGCCAAAATAAGGCAACACAGAGAAGACTTTTATCTTTTCGTCTGAATACTTTGTTACCACTTATTTAAAAGAAGAGTATTTTAGTAGTAAGTTTCGTTTTGAACTCCAACCATTGAGAGGTTTTCAGAGGGAAGATAGGACAGAAATCCAGCTGGTCAGATGTCTGTCATCAGGATATCCTTCCACTGTAGGACCAGATCAGTTGTGCCTAAATTTTTCTACTGAAATTTTTGGCCAGTTCTGTTTTCAATAATCTCCCAAAGGGAAACTTTACACCCATTCTGTGTAGCCTCTTCCTTTATTAATAAAATAGTTTCAGAATTTTTCTTTGTCCTGAACAAAGCATGGAAGAGCTCTGAGAAAGAAAGGCCTAAGTGCCCGGTGGGATGTACTCAGGGACAAGGGAAGGTAGCATTTAGACTTGTAATGATAGCATAAGGCAATAACTGCAGTAAATAACATTTTCTTTTATTAATTTGATTACTAAGGTCTTCTGTTCTCCACTGTTCACCAAAAGCAATATGGTCTGATTTTCTATTTTAGGCAGTGCCTGCCTTCAGGTGGCTGAGCTGCCTGGTTCAAACCAAAAGTGATTTGAACTGTTTTTAATCAGTCTTAGGGGTAAGAGCGAGGAGGGTGGAAGCTGATCCCCTGTACTGACTTCATGAGGACTCCAGAACTCTTTTTCATACCTGCAAACTCTTTAGAGTCAGGGAGCAACCTGGAGAGGAGATGAACAGTGACTTCTGCTGGTTTTATGTGTGAGGCGGTTTATAAGAGCAGTGCAAGTGTTTCTGTAGTGGTATCTTGAATGTGTGTGCCATGCTTCTCACCTAGCCTGGTACTACCTCTCTGGGAACTGTCCCTCCTGCCTTCACGTGGAGTTCTTTCATCATTGCTGTCTCTCTGACCCCAGTCTTATCTGCCATTTCCTACCATTCACCCTCCTTTAAGTAAAAAATGATTGTTTTAGTATACCTCAAAAGGCTAAAGCAAGTTTGGATTCACAGGGCTTGTATGATATGCCTCAGTTCTTCCATTTCAGAACTGAATTGTAACTTCTGTAGTTCCTAGCTGGCAAGAAGCAGCAGGAGCTGTCAGGAATCAGAGTTGTGGTTCCAGGAATCAGTCTGTTTCCTTTTCATTCTTAAGCTTATCCATTTTGCCAATATAGTTTATTATCCATTTTGAACTGCCTCTAAAGCATTCAAGAGAAGACAAATTCTTGGAAGCCTCTGTCATCTGTGTAGGTGAGGGTTTGGATTATGTTGCATTTCCATATACTCTAGAGTGAGAAAGCAAATAGAGACTTTCCTCAATACATACAGTGCTAGCAGGAAAAGTATTTCATATTGTCTTAACATCTCATTAAAGATATGGAGAAGAAGAGGGAATTTTTAATAAGTTGCTCTAACATTATCTATTGGCAAATCAGCAAGTGTACGACTATTCAGGACACAAAGTAGAAAAAAGAAATTATCTATTTAATTAGTCCTGTGGCTTACTAGCATTTATTGCAATAAAATACAGAATCATAGAGTAAACTTTGCCAACTAAAATTTATGTCACACGTTGACAGAGTGATTATATACGGCACTGTGGTGGGTTGACCCTGGCTAGACACCAACTGACCACCAAAGCTGGTCTATCACTCCACTTCTCAGGTGAACAGGGGAGAGAAAATATAAGGAAAGGCTTGTGGGTCAAGATAAGGACAGGGAGAGCTCACTTACCAATTACCATCATGGGCAAAACAGACTTGGGGAAGGTTTAGTTTAATTTATTACCAATCAAATTAGAGTAGGATAATAAGAAACAAAAAAACTAGTCTTAAAACGCTTTCCACCAACCCCTATCTTCTTCCCCAGCTTACCTTTACTCCCAAATTACTCTACCTCCTCTCCCCCAGCAGTGCAGGGGGACAGGGAGTGGGGGTTGAGGTCAGTTCATCAAATGTTGTCTCTGCTGCTCCTTCCTCCTCAGGGGGAGGACACCCCACACTCTTCCTGTGATCCAGTGTGGGCTCCCTCCCATGAGATACAGTCCTCCACAAACTTTTCCAATGTGAGTCCTTCCCATGAGCTGCTCCAGCATGGATCCCCCACAGGGTCACAAATTCTGCCAGCAAACCTGCTCCAGCATGTGCCCTGCTCTCCACAAGTCCACAGGTCCTGCCACGAGCCTGCTCTAGCTTGGGCTTCCCATGGGGTCACAGCCTTCTTCAGGCAATCACCTGCTCCAGTGTGGGATCCTCCATGGGCTGCAGGTGGATCTCTGCTCCACCGTTAACCTCCATGGCCTGCAGGGGCACAGCTTGCCTCACCATGGTCTTCACCACGGGCTGCAGGGGAATCTCTGCTCCAGCACCTGGAGCATCTCCTCCCTCTCCTTCTCACTGACCTTGGTGTCTGCAGAGTTGTTTCTCTCACATCTCGCTTCTCTCTGCCCTGCTGTTTTCACAACAGTTTGTTTCCCCTTCTTAAATATATTATCACAGAGGCACTACCACCATTGCTGATTGACTCAGCCTTGGCCAGCAGCAGGTCCGTCTTGGAGCCGACTGGCATTGGCTCTATCAGACACAGGAGAAGCTTCTAGCAGCTTCTCACAGAAGCCATCACTGTGGGCCTCCTGCTACCAAAACCTTGCCACACAAACCCAATACAGGCAATTAAAGATATTTCAGTAGTTCACCCTTCTAAGGTGAAATGCCTTCTAAGAGAAATGAAGGAGAGCTGTTCAGTAGTAATTAAGAATGTTTATCATTCACATGGCTAAAGAAAATCTTGGCAAGAAGAAAAGACAGCTGTCATAATAGACCGTTACTACTCAATGGAAATGAGTGGAATTGTGTGGTAATATTTTTCTTCTATTTTTTCCCCTTGCAGAACTTTCCTTTTTGTTAGAGACGGTAACCCAAATAAACGGAATGTGCACAATGAGACATCTATGCACTTACTGTGTATGGGACCTCAGATCATGATCTCAGAAGGAGCTCTTCATCCTCGCCTGACACGACCCTCAGAAGATGACTGCAGAAGAGCAGACTGTCTGCAAATGATCCTGAAGTGGAAGGGAGCAAAGCTAGATGAAGGACAATATGAACGAGCAGCCATTGATGCTGTCGATAACAAAAAAAATACACCTTTGCACTATGCTGCTGCTTCAGGGATGAAAACCTGTGTCGAGGTAAAATTTGAAACATAATCACAAGTCTGTGTACTGCTATTAGTAAATGACATGTACAGTGTTTCACAAAGCTGTTTCAGGGGAAAGAAAAATCTGATAGAGCATATTGAATTAACTTTTTAATTCAATTTTTCGTTAATTGAAAAAATGATAAAGATAAGCAGCCCGAAATGTACACTGTCTGTAGAGAGCAATGGAAAAAAATGGATTACATATATGTACATTAACTTCATGACATAAACTCCTCAGCACAAAGAAGACTCATGTAGGTTACAAAAATGGGAAATAATAATTACAGGCATAGGTATCCCTGTATGTGTAAAGAGAAGTGAAATAACTGCCTGAGAGAAAAATCAGAGCTTTTTTAATCCTGTTCTGTAGCTGAGACTGAGAAATGCTGTTCAAGTTTTAAGAACAGGTTTGATGTCCTTAAAGTACCACTTTTTGAAATTAGGCAGGGGGTTATTTGTCTTTTTCTGATTCTGCAGGAATAGTGAACATAAGTACATTTTGGGAACTGTTACTGAGTGACTCTTTGATGGTGACATTTTGAATTATCAACATTTACCCTCTCTGTAAATAAATGCTTCCTAATGTCTCGTCTAAACCACCCCTGGCGCAACTTTGAACTATTCCCACACATCCTGTCACTGGATAATATTAACTTGAGACTGTGTCTCTCTGATCCCTTGCTCAGTATCAAGAATCAGTATCAAGTATCAGGAATCAAGAGGATGCTGCCATTAGTTTTCAGTATTTAACCCCCAGTATCGCAGCCTAAATCTTGCCCCTGTACCTTCTTTCCTCTCTGCCCTCTGTTGTTACAGCTCAGCAAGCTCCATGCTAGCACTTTGTCTTTAACACATCCCTAGAAATTGTTTACACACTTACTGAGTTTCACTAGGAAGGGAAGTCATTGCTAGTTGAATTACACTCAGCGAATTATCTACGTGGTAACTGAATTACACACAATTATTGCCTGGCTTTCCCTGTCAACTAGAATGAATTTTTTCTTATTTCTTTTATGATTAATTTAGTGCCTCTTATGATGCGATTGATTTGTAAACAAATATCAAGCTGTCTCCTAGGTCTGTGTTAATACTGCTTTTATCTTGATTGTCAGCTTTTAATTCTTTTTAGATTTGATAAACAAAATATTAATTGCAACGAACTGTGTACTTTTCTATTTTCCTCTCTTTTAAACCACCTTGTTTTTGCTAAATTTTCAGTCACAGTTGTTCTACCTAGCCTTCCCCAAGAAGATCCATTTGTTTTTAAACATTGTACATTAGAGGACTAATCTGCATGTCATATCAGAAAATGGGTGATATCAGGATTTAGCATTTAATGAACTCTTTGAGCAAAGCCGGTAAAGAACACTCAAATAAAATAATTCGATGTGAGAACAGTTGCTTCTGGTAGTGAAATGGTAAACAGAAGAAAAATTTAGTAACCAATTTCCAACAGATTTCAATTTCTGGTATTTATAAGCTTGCTTACATTTTTGAAATAATATGTGCATTATGCTGACTCGTAAAGTGTTTACTGTTGGACCCACATCAATATATACTGCAAAAAGAAGGAACAATTACATTATCCACAGAAACCCTTACTTCCTTGTCTTCTGTCTCTATCTCTACAGTTGAGATCCCCAGATAAGTTAGAATTCAGATTTACAAGGAATTTGAGCAAGGAGTCTTCTGCCTCAATCGTTCTGCCTTCATGCCCTGAAATGGGGCTATACATTGGTATTAGAGGTAGCCACATTTGTTCAAAAATGTCAGTTTCAAGAGCATGAGCCAAATGTAAGATCCAGGCAGACTGTAGTGTCAAAAAGAATCACAGTCGCTGCAGTGTAAATTATGGTTCTGGAGCTGGCCTGCAGCTTTTAGCTGCAGACTGTAAAATCAATTGGTTTTAAACTCATCATGAAATTTAATGGTGTGTGTTTCTTCACAAGTTATCGTTCTATTTCTCACTGTCTGTGATATAATTCATTAGATGAATCCAGCTACTAGACTGCTAGTTCTCCATTTAATTATATAAAGTGGGTTATGTTATCATGACTACATACTGTTCAATTGACTAAACCATTTCTGACTCTAGTTTGCTTTCAGTTTGTCTTTGAAGAAGAATATTTACAGTCTGATCCACATGGATCGCTATTTGCCAGAGTTTGGACACAGTTATGTAGTCTAACTAATCATGTTTCCTACATTGGAAACATACAGTACACCCCAAAGTTCAAGCTCTGCTATGTGCCGTAGCATAGGGTTGAGGACCTTGGATCCTAAGATTAGTATCTGAGATATTTTAAGTCCTGCAGTATAGTCTGGACTCCTTCTAACTCCTTCAACAGGAACAGGGCTATGAACAGGAACACTGCATTATGCAAAGCTCAAAACACAGCTTAGTGGAGGAATTTAACAATTACCTCTTTGTTTCTGGAAGCATTTGAGGGTTAAAATTCTTAGCAAAAGAAAAAGAGATAAAATACTGAATTGCCTAATCATCAAGCCATCTTCCCTCTCTTCAGTAAACTCAAGGTCACTTTGAACCCCAAGAGCAACTTTTGCCCAGTTTTGTGATGATTACTCCCACTTGAGAGCAGCATTCCTCTTTAATCATCTCTTTCTTTTTCCGTAACTTTTCAGGAAAACCCCAGCCTCTGTCCTCACCACACCCACATAAGGAAAGGAAAAACAAACATAGTTTCTTGTGGGTGAGCCACCTACTAGTTTATTTTTTCAGAGTTGGCAGTCAAATGTGCAGTCTCAATGCTGCTCCATTCACATGTGTTAAATTTCTCCTCTGAGTGGAACAGCAGTGTGGAACCCATTGCTAAAGGTAGTTAGGACAAATGTAATGTGCCTTCCTCAAATAACTGAATAGAAAAAAGATTTAACTTACACTCTTATCACAGCATATTTGGCATATTAAATGGCATTGTTGTGATTGTTTAAATTGTTAATGTGGTTATTTAAATTATTTATCTCCTTTTAATTACTTAAGAGACACAAGCCTTTTTAACAGTGCTTCCAGAGAAATATGACATCGTTATTAAAAACTTGTTCATTTGCATATTCCTTATCTTGCGCATTTCAAGCAGCATAGGTCTATGGAGTGTTCTTTCAAGTATATTTATTATTTTTCTTCCTCAGAAGGTGTTTTGATTGCCTCAGTTAATTTTCTGCTAGAGTTTAAAATGTACAGACAGAATGTGAAACTCAAGTTAACAAAGTTTTGGCAATATTAGGAACTTTAGTTAGAACAAGGTAACTGTAGGCTGAGAATCTTGACAATTACTTTAGTATTATCTTTATGTCTACCTGGGACTCTGCTATGAAGATAAAATGTGCTGTCGTACTTAATGACACTAATATCTTCTCAACTAAATCTTGGGTTTGCACTGTTTTGTGGTATTTTGGGGTTTGCATCTCTTTTATTTTGGATTTTGTGGGAAAAGTTTCCAAAGAATCTACAAGAATTATTCCAAGTTTGTAAAATACATTCCGTATTTTAGAGTGACAGGTGCAGGAAATACAATCTGCTGAAGAGAAAAGTAAGTGACTGATCATGATCTAAAAGGTTTATGTGTAGAGCAGATCTTTTTTGGGAAATTTAACCTTTTTTTAGAAGTGTAAAAATTAGAAGCTGAGTTTTTAAATATCCTGGCTAAAAATACAGGATAGCATTGTTACAGCTGTCATGGTCTGAAGGCAAGATAATGTTTATAGATTTTAGTTTTATTTAGAAATAAGATGAATCATTTTAGTAGTGAGTGAGTGTCCTGGGTGCTCCATCATTAGAGGTGTAGCACATGTTATAAAGATGTCATAATAAATCAGCAAAATGGTCCACTGTTGGCCTTTAAAATTTGTGGCATTTGTTGTCCTTGCTTATATCGGATGAGTTTATAGCAGGAGGCAATGTTGGCAAAGCAATGAGAGCAGCATGATTACCATTTGCTATCTAGAGACTACGTTTCTGGGTGGTTTCTGGCAAGGGAGAAGACTGGTGAAATGGCATAATACTAGACCACATTAGAATTATTAGAATTACTTCATTTCGCTTTTCTCATGTCCTCGAAACTGAGTTGCCAGTAGTACTATGTGCTTTCTGTGATTTAGTACTGCATTTTCCCTCTTACCCAAGGATTCTCCCATTTTCTGTCGCCACCAGTGTACAAGTGCTGGGAAGAATGGTGGAGTTATACCCATATATAAAGAATATTTAGAGGTGTATCTGGTTCCATCTTGCCAAGTACTTGATGACCTCCTATTTTCTATGGAGCACTGACCATATCAGTAGAGCAGATTTTTAGTTTTAGCAGATTTTTTAAAACCTAACAGAGACATATTGTACAGCATTGCCTTCTCACATATTTCTGAGATTTTGTGGTTCTGTGGAATTATGGTGTGTATAGGTATAATTATGTATGAAATCAAACGGAAATTTATTTAATAACAATAGAGAATATTTGTTTCCCATAGGCCATTGCTGTTATATTTGTCTCTCTGTTTTCCTTGTTCATATTGTTTGTTCTCTTCTTAACTGACATGTGTTTTCTTTTGAGTATTATTAGAGTTGGTAATTAATAACTGTTTACATCACCATTTTACTTTTCAGCTTCTAGTAAAACATGGTGGAGATTTGTTTGCAGAAAATGAAAATAAAGATACTCCATGTGACTGTGCAGAGAAACAACACCACAAGGAGCTGGCTCTTAACCTGGAATCTCGAATGGTATTTTCACGTGATCCTGAAGCTGAAAGCATTGAAGCTGAATATGCTGCTTTAGACAAGAAAGAGGTCAGAGGATACTTTAAATTTGGGGTATTTTACACATTTATGTTTGTAGCAGTTACATTGTGACAAGATTCTGCAAAGTATTTCAGTAGGTCCTGTACTTTGTACTGTATATTTGTAAACAATTTGTTTTTAACACAGCTCTTTTTAGCTTTCATGTTAAGCTCAGAGAACATAACCAATGCATTGTCAGAACTAAAAAGAAGTTTTATTCATATACTTAATTATGTGGACTGTCTTGAAAGTGTTGCAGGCTCTGAGGCTGAAGGAAATACAATGAGGCCAGTAAGTTGGGAAACAATAGCTCTAAACCAAACATTTTTTACATATTTTTATTTCTTAAAATGCCTTTCTGTCTAAGAATGAGGGCAGGAGAAAATATGAAAAGGAGAACATCTGTGGGATAGATTAAGGAAAATGTTCTGGTGGGTTTTCATAGACTGAGACAGGGTTGAATGTCACCAAAAACCAGCTGAGTAGTGCAGGATTTCAAAACAGTGCATTTACTTACTTGTTTTATAACATGATGGCTGAAGCTACTGAATACCAGAACTTCTATGAAAACCAGGTAATAACAGGTGATGTTATTTTGAAGTCAGTTTTTAAAAGAGAAAGACAATTCACTGACACAAATTTGCATTAATTCTGGTGTGCCTTGTGGAAGACTGTGATTTGATAAGGACAGTGTCCATCTTTCAGCAGTTCAGTTCACTCCTTCCAAAAGGGTTTCTGAATAAAATCCATTTGTCATACAGTTACATAGCCTTTTAAAATCTGATTTTAATACAGTGGTCCCTGAAGCATATTCTTAAAGCAACATTTATATTTTACTTTTGTTTTTAGTATACCTCAAACATTTCTAGTGATCAAGTTAGAGACTGCAGTTAAAGATGGGTAGCAAATAGTTTTGAAACTCAGACACGTTTGTTAAGTGTGTTTCCACAAGATGCAGTTTGGAAGGAAAACAATGCACCAACACACACATAATCTGTATTTCTCTGTATAAAATGCAAATGCTAAATATTTTCAGAATGGAGTATATAAAGTGTGACTCTTAACACTTTAGTTAGTTGCAGCATAATAAGATCTGTCTATGAAGTGTGGACAGTGGAAAGGGTATTAGAAAACAAGCCAGGAGAGTATTTCAGATTACCTTCTTGTCCTGCTTCTTTTCTCTTTATTTGTTGATGAACAATCTCAAAAAATACCTATTATATAAAATTTAAGTTTATATATTTTATCTTTTAAATCTAATTGAAGTTACACTAAATTACATGACTATAACTGATTATTTTTAAACTGCTTTTACAGGTTTTGGTTGTTTTATTTGCAGTCTTTTAATTTGCTGTTTATTCTAGCATGGGAGCATACTTGTGTTGGTGATGTATCCCTGGAAGAGAACTGTCACATCCATTTCAATCACATCATGCAGTGTTTTAAACTTACGTAAGAAACACCTGGAGATGAGCAGTACTTCAGAGCAGATCATCCAGAATAGCTTTGGCTCTCAGTCAGACTCAGATAAATACATTTTGCTATAGCAAAGTATATAGTTTCTTAGTTCATTTTACGTATGTGTCTCTGAATGCTGTAGAAATACACTGCTACTGAGCGTCACAGATGTATTGAGCATATAGTAATTGGAATGGTTTTCTTCAGTTCCACAATTGATGTAGTATATGTATAATGCAAAGATCATAAATACAAATATTTATCTAAGATTATTAAAATGTACTTTCTCTCTACAGATAGAGAATGGTTTATTAAGTGAGAGAAGGGAACTACGCATAGTTAAGATATATACATATAGTGCATATACTTGAATGAGTTAAATGGAGTATAGATAATTTTAAAAATATAGGACACCTTTAACAATAGAACTCTGTCCACTCATAAAGGAGGGTATTTACATGAAGTATATTTGACACTGTTCAATTATATAGTTATCACTGCAGCAAGGAGTTACTTTGCCCATGTCTATTTTAATGGTACTTTAAAATTGAAGAAAATAATAATAGTAGTTTGAAATGAACTGTTAAAATAATCAGCTTACATATTAAAAGTACTTTCAGGAGAAAAACAGTTACATAAATTATGATATCTAAATATTAGTGGTAAAAAATTGAGAAGAAAATAGCTAAAAAGAAAGACCCTTGAGAGGTCAAAAGGGCTGAAAGCTGTAGTGAGAAGCTCGCCAGTGACTTAAAGTAGTAACTCAAATTGTATATTCCAAAATCGTGATATAGTTAAATGATGCTAATATTGAACAATGCCCTTTTCACAGCAAATATCAATAAAGAGCTCCTCCATAAATGAGTATTGAAAGAGGTCTCTGAGCCTCATGAGCTGTAATCAGAATCCTTTACAGCATATGGCAGCACAGAGATAAATCATTGATGTTTGAAGTAGTTAAAAACAAACCTCTATGCTATTACATAAAGGATATACATCCGTATAACTAAAGACTGTCCTGCAAGTCTCTGCAAGACTATGTCTTGTACAGATGGACATTTTTAAGGGTTCTCATTGTATAAAGTCTTCACTCTGGAATTTCCAGATTAGGCTACTTAATAGTACGAGGCTAAAATGTCCTTTCTTTAAGCTTCTTCTGTGGGCTCATACATTATATTATGAAACAAGTAGCTAAAGTTTCAAACAGATTTTTAAGACATATTTCCCTCATTACTTAGAAAGATAAAATTAGGATTTTTCAAAACTGCAGAATCCCCATATCCCTGCTAGATTGTGTGGAGTGCTCCAGCTGAGATAATATAATAGTCTGTTACTCGAGGGAGATAATTGGCAGTGTTGGCCTAGAACCGATCAGTTAAATATATTTCTAAGCATATATGCAGTTCATGATAAAATACTAGGTTTTAAAATATGCATGTATGCTGTAGATTTAACAGAAAAGACATTTCTTTTTATGATGTATGTGGGCTTCAAGAAGTGACTGCTGACAAAGCTACTTGTTTTACAACTGCAATTCAAAATTCAGTTCAGGTTCAGCCAAGACGATTTACTCTTTGCTTCCCTTTTTTTTTTTGCAGTATATTCGTGCAATTATAATCATTCAGGCACCCAGCTGTTTGTATCCCTGCCTCTCTGGCATGTTTTTATAAATTATCACTTTTGTGAGAAATTAAATAGGTCAGTCAAACTCCAGCATGCTATGAATCAAGTGGCCCAGATTTATTTCAGTGCAAGCCATTAACGTTCAGATTGTCCTTTACTGAGTCATGCAGGATCAGCAATGGAAGGAAGGACATACAGAAACTCCCTGACCTTGGGCAATCAAGATAAAGGTCAAGACACTTGCAGTCCATCTCCCCTCTGCTTTTCTTTCTCAAAAAGGACAAAGACCCAGTGCAGAGTTGTGGCACCATTACTCTTGCTGATCACAAAGTTTCTAGTATTGAGATGTAATTGTTTCTATCACTGATTAGCTTACAGAAGAGGTCCTTGTGGGAGTCAGTTCTGGTTTTAGATGCATTTTATAGTTTTTATGATATCTAGAATGTAGGAAGCATGTTATGTTTTTAGAGTAGGTGCCTCAGAAGAAGAAAGTTATTTAGAAGCCCAGGGTATCCCATTTCTCCCCCTCATTTATGCCTTCTGCTTGTTGTCCTCAAAGGGTTATGCACACAGTGGACTTTTACTTAGATTGTAAACTTCTAAGGAAAGAGTCGGTCTTTTGCTTTGTGTCTATGTATGCATGCCTGCATGTATGTGCATATTAGCTATCACTGGAGAGTCCTGGACTATGCTTTACATAAAATCAAAATACAGATAGTAAATAATAATGATGCATGTTGTTAAGTGTGGTTATTTGTTATTGCTGCTGCTCTATGTCCTTTCTTCTCCAAATTGGTGAAGACATTTGCCATTTGGTGGCCAGGTTCCTAATTAGTCCTGAGAACACACCAGTTTTATGTCAAATGCTTTTAATCTTTTTTTAGCTATCCTTTGTATAAATAGCACCATTGCATGTAAGAATAATTTTTTTACATACCATTTCTGTGCATATCCTCCCACTGTTTTTTCTACCTTTTGGGCATTTTCCCTGTGCAACACTAACAAATATACTATTTGTTGTCATGTTCTTCCTTTTTTGGTTTTAAAAAGGAGTCTGCAAACCATGTGTATGCATCTCTAGTATCTTGGTTGGAGCTAATTTAGAATCTTGTCTTTCTAATTTTACCTTTTTTAATGCTATAATAAGGGTTGAATCTCCAGACCAGGAAGGCAGCTGGATGATCTGCTCTGACTGTGTAGGGCTATCAGAGTTGGCCACTGTTCCTCAAGGAGGGTTTTGACATCTTCATGTACAATGTTTCCCCAACATTGAAGGTATTCAAAAGCCGTCTGGACACGGTCCTGGGCAGCTGGCTCTGGGTGATCCTGCTTGAGCAGGAGTCTTGGAGCAAATGACATCTCAGGTCCCTTCCAACCTCAACCATTCTGTGTTTCTGTGAACCTCTAACTGAGTGTCTCATCTGTCCTATTCGTGACTGACTTCTCTGCTTCTGTGTGCATAGATATTGCCTTAAAAGACCTGTACCTGATTCTGTTCACAAACGTATCCCTTCTTACTATCTAATGTCTCAATGTATCCTCCTCCAGATCAATTCAAAGTTAATGGGTCTTAATTCATGTATAAAGTTAGTGTCAGAGAATCTATATGCAATGCATGTTAACCTGACCTTTCTCTCGCTCTCACCTGAAATCCTGAGTTCAAATCTAGGCATGCATTCCTATATCCATGCCACAGTACATGAGGTTTAATCACTTCAAAATTCAGCTGGATTCTGTGAAAATCTAGGGGTTTTCTTGAGAGAGAATCAGTGTTAGGCATCATTTGAACATAGCCTCCGACTATAGTGTAGAACTGTAGAGATACTGTCTTTCAAATTTTGAAATGTGCAAAGATCATACTATAAATATTGCAAAATTACAGTGTTTCCATGTAGCTTTGCATGGTCATTGGTCTCCACAATGAATATATTTTGTCACATGTTAGCTCACAGTTGAGATGATGATCAGTAACAGTGCTTTGAATGTTTTCATTTTAATATGGAAATAAAGACTTAACTGGAGAATACTGCTGGACATAAATAGTCTTTCTTCTTCTTCTCAAAGCCATATGAGGGGCTGAGACTTCAGGACCTGCGAAGGCTTAAGGATATGCTGATCGTGGAATCTGCTGACATGCTCCAAGCCCCGCTCTTTACTGCAGAAGCTCTACTTCGGGCACATGGTAATCCGAAACCTTAGAGACTAAAGAAACTGCTTTCAGCAAAATCAAAATTGCAGTTGTATATTTACTTTTTACTTCCAAGTAAAAGAGAAGCAGTGGTTAATCAAATACCAGGAAACAGTTCACACAGTACTTCAGAAAGAAATACAGCTGCAGTATGTCAGCAAGCACTGAGGCAGACAGGAAAGCTGGTAGAAAAGTGTTTCATACTAGAAATTATAATAGAAGACATTTTAACTTGAGCAGTGTGGAGAAACAGAGCTTTCCTATTTTACTAAGAGACATGGAAGTAGAACTTCCATGGTTTTATATGACAAAAAGTCAAATTCATTGTACCTATTTATGTCAAACCATTGGTTTTCTGCCACTATATATTGGCCTATAAAAATGGATCAAAATTTTTTTTATTGTTGTTACAATAAAAGCCATCTGACCATTGTAATAAATGGTTGGAAATTGCCTTGGGCTTTAAAGCATATGAGTGTATGTCCTTGGAAGGATTTTTATAATTACTCTGTTGATACAGGGTATACTTTTCCACGGGTATATCTGTAACTAGCTTAATTTCACGGAAATCAGTCCGTGCTCTTGTCCTGTAATTTAAACTGGGGTTTTCAGAATGGGGATATACTGAATTCAGTGTGTTTGCTTCAGACAAAAGTATCTCATTGAAACTCAGTGGAAGGTTTAGGCTTTGATTCAGTATTCAGAACTTAGGCTTACATGAAGCATCTGCATTGTCACTGTATGTCAAAGGAAGTACTCGGGCAGTTAATGGTTTGCATGCTCATGACCATATTGCTGGATTGAGTTTTTATACCGTATTCCTTCTGTGGGCTCCTTGTGAAAATAAGAGACGGAAAAGTGAAAAGGGAAAACATTATTTTAAACAACATTTGACAGACTTTCATGAGGAGATACGGTACCTGAAACTCGTCTCTTGCGTTATTTTCAATAGTTGGTATTTGTGTTCCTTTTAACATTGAGTTAAGTCAACATGAACTTGTGTCAGTCTGATGATATTTAAGGCACAGTCTTTGCATATATGTTTTTTGTAACATTGATTATTTGTTTAATTTTTATAATGAATATGAATGCTATTTTGGATTCTCAGAATACCCTCATTAAGGCTAAATATTGCAAAATATTTGATTAAATGGGTAGGCAGATTCTGTAACCTGTGCAGATGTTTTGAAGAAGGAAATTGTGGCAATACTGTTCAGACTTACAGCACAGTCCATAGTAAGTCCAGAAGCAGTGAGGTTGATGTAAACTGTGGAGAAATGTCTGCCAGCATCTAGCAACCAGGGCTGGAAAGCTGAGAAGAAATCAGTCTGTGTTGCAAAGGTCATTCGACTGATGTTGTCTTAGTGATGCAGCAGTAACTTAATGCAATTGGCCAGTGCAGAGAAAGAAGCACAGACAATTTGCAAGTCATGAGAAAGTCAGCTATTTTGCCTGTAGCTATAGTCCTACACTGGAAATTACTCAAACAGAATTTATTTTATTTGAAATTAAGACATAGAATTGGTTCAGCCTGGTAAAGGGAATAAGTGAGCTATTTACAAAGGCTTAGACAATTGGGAAACATCAGATACCAAAATTGTAATGCTTTTACATTTAATCTTGACATTCATAAAAGAATAATGTGAAATCTTGACTTAATTCACACTTAATATTGAAAATTGTTTTAAATTCTTGGAAAGATCATTCTTATGTACTACTTTTAATAGTTTTAAAGCATGTAATATTTAATCCAACAAACTTTGATTTCTTTTATTGTACTATATATCATACTATATACGATATTGTGCGATAGTACAATATATTGTACGATATCAATTTACTGACACGGGCTGTGAGAGTCTATTTTTCTTTATTTTTTTTTCCTTTCAATTAAGAGACAGAAGTATGCAGAGTTGGGGCCAAGATAAAAAAAATCATTATGGCAGTAATGAAAATAAATAATTTCACAGTTTTTCAACAAATCCCTGTTTCTCTTCTAGTTCATTATACAACAGTTAATTTCAGGATAAAAGAGAGGCAATCAAGCAAATGTAACTACGTGATATTTTACCAAAACTCATAAGTTAGTGAAGAAAACACAGTGGAATCCATTTAGTAGTGTGTCTTAACCATGAGTAATTTTAAAGACGCCGTACAAGCGAAGGAGCTCAATAAAACTTTTATCAAACTTTATCTGTATCTTAGCATCAGTCAGATCCCCTCTGAAAGATTATAAGATCAGAATAATTTGAAAAGTGCTAATAAAATTTACAATTTTTGAAGTGTAAATATATTCAGGGTCCATGTCTTTAAAGAAATGAAATTGAACTACCCCATAATATGTTTTAGCTTAGAAAAGTAAGCATATGATCAGTGAATCATCTCCCGCTCAAAGGCTTTCTTCATATTAGGAGGGAGTATATTCTAGCATGATAGTAATCGTTCCTTGGCAGGGGCAATATTTTTGCCAAGTTCAGTGAACATGTCTTTTTTTTCCCAGCATTAATACAGTGTAGGACTACTATTTATCTTTTTCTTATGAAATCTAAAATTCAATAAAACCAACACAGATCTTTTGGTTAATAGCATCAAGTTTGCAGTAGGTGTACCTAACCTTGAAAAAAAACAACTTTAAAACATTTATTTGAAGCAATAGGAAAAAATTGAGAAATTTCTCTTTCCTCCTGAAATTCTAGTTCATCTGTGCATAGTGCTGGTTCTTCTAGATTCAAATCCATATAGGAATTTGATAAATTTCTATTTAAAGAAGAATTTTTAGGTATTTTTAATAGAAAAAATGCTATTCTTGAGATATCTTTAGTATTACTCTTAGGAATCAGAAACATAAAACATTTCAAACAATGATTAAGAAATATTTTAATTAGTTTTAGGATCTTCCTATATAATAAAATCTGTTTCACTAGTTCATTTTTGTATATAAATTGGAAATGTTAATTATGAATAAAAGTGAGGCATTCAGTAACAATTATAAAATAAATATGTAGTAAGAACATATGAAATATTTTTTGCAATCAGGTGGCTATTTTTCTTTTTTTTCCCCAGAAATACATCACTCATATGCACATATAAAGACTGGTAACTCATTAGGTCATAAATCTTTTTGTAATCCGGTTATATCTTAGTCTTCTTCCTTAGTTTGTAGCAATTGGCTTCATCTTAAAAAACCTCAATAGGTAAAAGTGAATCCATATTGAACAATTACTTTTTTCATAGAAAGGGAAGATACTGGAAATTCTGTGGTGCAACAGTGTTATATTTTCATCTGTCTTTGCAAGTCACTGCAGATCTGGTTTCTGATTGAGTCTTGCATCTACTGCAATTGCTGTAAACAAATAATAAAAATAATTTTATCTAAGGCTGTTATTACAGGGAAAGGAGATGCTTGTGATACAATTATTTACGTAAATACATTGCATCATGTATAATTTTGGGAGGTGTTCTGTAAAATTTAATGTGTAATGTTCCATTCACTTATACTTTATCATATTTATTTATTTCTAAATGTTTTAGTTTAGTGTTTATACATTCTTCTGAGGATGCAGTTACAAAATATATTTTAAGAATTGTCCTGCATAATTTCCTGTATCTTTATATTTATCGAAGACTGGGACAGGGAGAAGTTACTTGAAGCATGGATGTCTAATCCGGAGAACTGCTGCCAGCGTTCAGGGGTTCAGATGCCAACTCCCCCCCCAAGTGGATACAACGCATGGGATACGCTCCCTTCTCCACGAACTCCACGCACTACTCGCTCTTCTGTGACTTCCCCCGATGAAATCAGCCCCTCACCGGGAGACATTGAGACAGCTGTGGTAAGATTATAAATAGATCTGAAAGTAGCGGGGCAAGCAAGCTCATAGCAAAACATAGCGCACCTACATGGACGGGAGAGCTGCATTGTCATCTCATTCTGAAAATATGTTTGTAAAGGTGTAAAATGACTCTTTCCAAAAGTGGTGAACAGAGAAGCTGACACCTTCAATGTTCTATATAATAACACAGTTCAGCATCTGGCTAATATAAAGCACCGTTTTCACCTTGGCTGTCACTTACAAAGTGGCATTTTAGCCAGCTACAGTCACATCAGGGCATTTGGCTCTTTTGAGCTTCTCATCTCATCTCATACTTACCAAGATGTTCACTTTCATACTGTCCATTTCACTGAATGTGCTCAATGCTGTGAACCCTGCCTTTAGAAAATTTTTTCTTTGTGAAACAAAATTCTCCTTGTCCGCATTTCGAAATGTCACCCCACTGGTGTACTGTAAGCTTATAATTACTTTTGCTGTGTGTGGGCTGCTTTCAAGTGGTTTACAAGGTTATTGCAAATTCGAAATATGAAAGGGCCTTTCATTAAAATCAGTGTGGTTCTTTTGGAAGACAGAGTTCTCTTTTTAATAATCTGCAGCTGCAGCATTATAAAACTTTTGCTCCATGACCTAAGCATTTTTCTAGAATCTTATATGCAGTCGTGCAACTGGATCATCCCTAGATCTCATATTCAATTTAAGATTTTGCATTCCTGAATAGAAATCTTTCATTTCTTTAATAGTAAAATGCTGAAAAAGAAGCTCTATAGAAGGAATAATGTTACCGTAGGTTTATTTACATTAGCAGTTAAATATTGTCAGGGAATATTTCCTAATTACAGAATCACAGAATGGTTTAGGTTGGAAGGGACCTTAAAGATCATCCAGTCCAACCCCCCCCCTGCCATGGGCAGGCACACCTCCCACTAGACCAGGTTTCTCAAAGCGTGTAATGAAAGAATACTTGTCTTCAGTTTTACAGTGTGTTTTGTTTACCATTGATTGTCCATAAGCCAGGAATGCAGATTTGGATAATGATATCTAGTGTGTCTAAATCCCAGTGTATTTCTGTAGCTTAAATAACTTTTTTTCTGATTACAGTTATATTTTCTCCTCTACTAAGCACTTCTTTAATTTTTTTGTGAGATTTTCCAACATAACGTGTCCTGCTAACAATATGAAAGGCTTTAGGGTATTTCTTAATCAGAAGTATTTTTTCATCTACAGTGTGACATTTGTATGTGTAATATTTCTATATTTGAAGACCCAGTGGACATGCCTTGTGGACATGACTTCTGCAGAGCATGCTGGGAGGCGTGAGTATATGTACTTTTCCATCTTTTGTGAAATTTTCATACTTGGCATTTTGAAGAGGAAAGGCCAGAGACAATAAACAGCTAATGTTAAAGTACTGTTTGGGTTTCAAAGTGTTGCTGGTTTGACCCTATTGGATATTTAAGTTGTTGCCCAAAGTGGTCATCAACTGTTTCAGGCTTACGTAACGTTTGTTTTGGTCCTGATCCAGCAAAACTCTAAAGCATTAATGTTTCAAGCCTGTGTGTAAATAGATGTGTCTACTCTTGATTTGCTCAGTGTGTGTGATGTTGGCAGCATTGGGATTTACACTTTCTAAATAAAGCACATGCTGAATTCCATCTCTTAGTTTAGCACACTAAACTTAGTCATTATAAATCCATTTCCAGTCAGAAAAACAATTAAAATGTCTTCTTATGTTGAGGGTTAATAACTGAGGAGTAGATTTAGCTTAAAAGTTCTATTAGTGTAATGCTCTTGTTACTGCATATTTTTTAAAAGTCAGAATAGCCATGCTAGTACTCAGACATGGATAATTATGCTAGCATAAATATTAATCGTACTTCGCAGGATTAATTATAACTGTATGCAGTGCCTCTATAGTCATCTTTTTTCCCATTCAGGAGATTGTACTGCTTGAACTGTACCACTGTAGTGTCTTGTTACAGTGTCGTATCAGCACAGCCAGTCCTACCGCAGATCAGCCCAATTTAAATGAACCCATTCCTCCTGTGTTAAGGAAGAGCACTTTCCCTTCCATGTAAGCTTTTAGGTGGCAGTTCTTTTCAGTGGCAATAAGATGAATAGTCATATATCTGTTGCCTTACAAACTGTTGTGCAACGATGTAGAAGTTACCAAGAGATCACTGGCTTGACATGGTGCTTCTAATTTGGGTGCTGAACTATGTGTACTGCGATTTGTGCATGCACTCAGAGCTACAGTTCAATGTCAAGCAAGTGTTCATGGTGGCACATCCAGGATGGGATTCATCTCTCTGAGCCAGTCAGTTCTAAGTTACCTGGAGCATAGCCAGGACTGAGTTATCTCATCCTGAGGTGTGAATCTAAGATGGGTTGAATTAGCGAGTCTCTCTACCTTAACTATTAAAGGATCACAGGTGACTAACTTAGGATAGCTGCCCTGTCCTTTAGATGATTAAAGTTAGATGAGATGAGAATCATCCTTGATGTCAGATTAATAAGTAAGTTACAGCTTTTAAACTAAGGAACCTTGTGCACTGGTAGTTAGAGTCCAGCTTTCAGCAGATTTCAGAGCTCGTTCTGTCTTGCATTCTGGTGCTTAGGGACTTATAAAGGTCTCCATCCATTTAGAAATCTGTTTCCAAGAGCAGTCCTATTTTGACTAGTACAGTTGTAAAAATTAATTGCATATCAAATTATTTCCTAGATTAATTACACTTGCATGTTCTGCTTCTGATTTAAGTTAGAAGTAATTCTCAGTTTAATTAAACATTGCATAGCTGTCTTGATAAATGGCAGGTATGGAAACCACAAACATATAGGGCTAAGCATAGCTGATGGTACTCACTTTTTGAACCATGACAGTGTTCCTTTATTTTTTTTAATTACGCTGTTCATCAAATCTGTAGCCTTTTTGAGCAGAAAGGGATACTTCCTGTTCTTTGTTTACAAATTGATTAATGTGAATATCTGTGAACCTAGTATAAAGTATTCATCAGCATTTTATTTTTTACTTTTCATTCACAAATACTGACTTGCAAAATTCTGGCAGATTTTTGAATATGAAAATTCAAGAGGGTGAAGCTCACAACATTTTTTGCCCAGCATATGATTGTTTCCAGCTTGTGCCTGTAGACATCATAGAAAGTGTGGTTTCCAAGGAGATGGACAAAAGATACCTTCAATTTGACATTAAGGTAAATTGTCAAACTGTTCCTGTACTCTTCATTTTATAAAAAAATAACTTACAAGTTCTATGTGAAATACTGCAATATATTTGTAACTTTCCAAGTAGAAATTAACAAATTAATATATATACTGAATTATTGGCTGTCTTATGTGCCATGATATCAGTGTTTAATATATATATATTTTATATATATATACTGAGAAAAAAGAAGGTACATTATATTTATTCCTTAAGCACAAATGCAATACTCCTATTACGTGTAACCTAATGCAATACTGTTAAAATTATTTGATCAAACTATATTTGTAACAGGTGATACGAAGCTTTTAATCAGGCAGACTTGTTTGTGTTAGCAATCTAAAATTGTTAAGACTTTTGGGATTATTTTTACTACCAGGAGTTGTTTACATTCAGAAATAGTAACAGTTTTCATGTTAAAAGCTTGATTTGGTTTTCCTGTTTGATTTTTAAAATGTGTTTATTTCCTTCATTGCAACTTGTTTTTAAAAGCAGTCTTTTAATTCACCTTTTTTCTTTTATAGTGTAGTAATGAACTAGTCTTTGAGATAATGTGCTACTTTATCAGTGGTGACAGGGCAAAAGAAAGTAAAGGAATAATTTTTCATTTACAATACAATACTTTCTCTGTGTGACAAGTCTCTTTAATACACAATAACAGTGTCTTGCATGGTAAGATGCAAATTAAATTACCAGATCTGATTAATCTGCTACATTAACCAAAAAATATTGGAGGTAAATTCCAGAGATAGTCTAGTTCTGACGTAAAGTTTATTGTGGGCGGGATATATTGTGGGATTTTTGTTTTAATTAAAAAAAAGGGTTTAATTCTTTTCAAGTACAACAGTCAGTTCTATAAATGAGTGTATTGCCAGTGCGTATGTAACAATTTACAGTAAACCGTATCACAAAGGAATGACTTGCACACATTGAACATTTTGTTTGGGATGTAAGCCATTTGCATCTTAGCATAAGTCTGGAGTACTGATGTTACTAAACCCCCCCTCTCCCAAAAAAACCACAATCCACCGTATTTTTAAGGTGGAGGTTAAATTATTCCCTTTTTATAACTATTTTTAAAAGCTTTTCAAAGTAGCTAGAAGATTGTCCTTATGCTTTTTGGCTTTGTTCTTTTAAAGGAGGATTATGAACACAGATTATTTTATATAGGTGATGAAATCTGATCTTATGTGGTGAAATAGTTTCCTTTTTTCTTTTTTTCTCCCTAGGCCTTTGTTGAAAATAATCCTGCTATTAAATGGTGTCCTATACCAGGCTGTGAAAGAGCTGTAAGGCTAACAAGACAAGGATCAAATTCAACAGGATCAGATACACTTAGCTTCCCTATGCTGAAAGCCCCTGCTGTAGATTGTGGAAAAGGACATCTTTTCTGCTGGTTTGTACTAGAAACTTCTACATCTTCAGAAACTCACAGTCACTGCTATTCCCAGGATTAATTAAAAAGTCCCACTTAGAACCAAGTGTGCAACAAGAATTTGTATGGGAGGGTGTATGACTGTATCCATGGACTAAATAACCTCACGTGCACAAATATTTTAGTATTTTAGGGGACAGCAAAGATTTGTAATACTGTCTTGCTCTTTATTGGCTCTGATAAATGCAAAACAGCTGTGTGGAGTGTTGTGATGTTCTGTTCTGCGGGGACAGAGGAGAAGTAGGATATTGGTGGAGGGATTTTTGTGTCTGTTCAGGATAGTTGTAGTATAATTAAAACATGGTGCGTTCTGAATTGTAGCACAGAAAATCAGCAATTTTTAGCTCTTCTGGATTTTGGTAGACTAACATCAAATAAGCTGGAGTTTTAACAGGACTGTGGAGGATCTTTTGCTTCATAGATAGCTATTCTGTTTGCAGGATCACTCTAATCATTGTTTCACTTGAGGATTAGCACTTTATGTTGTATTCTATTGAGTCTTAAGATGAATACAAACTCGAGAAGGAGTAAAAAGGCATGAGATATTTAAAAAACTCTCCTCACATTGCGCATCTTCAGCACTTCCGAGGAAGGCACAGCAGTATCAACAAAAGCAAAAAAGTGGTGAAATACTTTTCTGAAGTGCAGAGCAAAGCGCATCAAAAAGGGTCAACTAAAGTATAGACATTCAGACAAACAGAGTAATCCTTCTTTTCATTTTTCATTTGAAACCATAATGCAAGAAGAGATCCTGAATAACCTGCTTGATTCCAAATATCACAAGACTCTTAATTAAAGATGCTTCTGATTTTAGTTCTTTCCCCATATGAATGGAAAGGAAGAAGGAACAAGAGGAAAGTAGACATAATGAAACAACCACAAAAGCCAGAAAAGTTTTGGAAAGAGCCAGAACTTCTTGAAAAGAGGTTGTTCAGAATGGATGGAGAACTCTGAAAGAAACAAATCCTGTGGAAACAAACCAGAAAATGCTTTTTGCCACTGAACATATAACAAACCTTAGTATTACGCCACAGGAAGGTACCATCCTTTCATCCTTACTGCTGATTACAGACAGAGAATCATTTTTTCTATTGACCTGAAGGACACAGCCTGAGACCACTTCAGTGTAGTTTTGACATGGTCCTTCAGACATTGCCAGCTTCTGCTTCCTTTACATGGGCTGAATGTACTAGCTCTCCAGAATGTCCTCTGAGCGTGAAAATGTCCTCTGAGTGCCTAATTTTAATGAGAAATGTCTTTTTTATGTTTCCTGATAATATTTCTGAATGTTCTTTTTATGTAAATGCTTTGAGATATTGCACAAGCAAATACATTAAGGTCTTGAAAAAGACCTCATTTTAGCAGCAAAATGTCCAAGAAGGCCTTTCCAGGGCCTTTTTTTTCATCCCTACAGAAGTGAATTAAGAGTTTCAGCAATAGCAAGGAAGTTCTGCTAGCAACTGAAGCATCCTGCAGTACTATAAATCAGAAGCATTTGCTGAGGACGGCCATATTAGTCTTACAGTAAAAAAAACCCGTGCATGAATGAGTTCCTCTGGAGAAAAAGAAAGTTATTCTCAGTTGAGAGGGTTTTCATCATTGTAGGCTTAAAGAGAGCTTTATATCTTTAAAGTTCAATCAACACATCCCACAGTTCCATAGTTTTGTCAGTTCTGCAAGTTTTACCCAGGTAATCTACAGCTTAGACATTGTAATAGCAATTGATACTGCATGTAGTAAGAGATTCTTCAGAACCTATGTATTAGAAAATCCAGCCAACCCCTAGATAGTCACTTGCTTTTTTTGGATCTATAGCCTTTCTGCTCATAAAAGCAATAAAATTCTCTGAGTCTATTGAGTAATTTCCTTTTTTCTTTTTTAATTAATGTGGAAGTAGGAATGTTCCCTTTAAATACGGAGTTCCTTAGAATTTATTCCTTTTTCATTACTCAGCACTAACAGCACTTTCAGAAAAATGTAGTCTGTTGTGACAAACACAAAACTCTACTCCCTTTCAGTAAACATTCTGAGATATTTAAATGTAGTACAAATGAAAACTAAGCACAAATCCTACATCTTTGTATTATCGGATACTTTCAACATATTAGAATCCCTTCATGCTGTTTCAGAAGCACAAGGAATTGTAGCGAGCAGACGCTTCTGGAAAATAATCATAGAAGGCACGGCACACTTAGTTTTGCATCATGAGTCCTCGCTCCTTTCATCCTAGATGGAGACAGTGAGCAGAGTCTCATTCTGTGGAAGAGACATCTCTTCAGATGCACTTTGGCCACTTATAAGTTGCAACAGCGTTTTGCTGTTTTGATTCAAAATTCATTATATGATATAAACATTATCGTAAGGGGAAACAAAATCCAGAGGTGCATTCTTCTCGGATGATGCTTTTACCTCTTCCACAAATTTAAACTTGTTGAAAACTGCAGCAATTTTATTAAATATGTACTGCACCTTCCAATGAAGCATCCTGCTGAGTATTGAGGAAGGCAGTCTGGGGAGGCTAATGCTGTACATTGTCAGAGCCGTTTGGCATTAGTTCCCTTCATTCAGTGCTGTCAGGGACTCTATCCAAAGTACAACTTTGTTTCATAAAAACTTTTATGAGCAATAGGCTCAATGCTCTTAGTCCAGTCCAATGACATCCCCATATAGAAATCCTTCTTTTGGGGTTGGCTGAGGAAAGAACTTCTTCCAATGAAAGTTGTTCTTCAGCACTCTGTTGTGACTATCATATAGATCTAGATCTAGATATTTTATATAAATATAGCTATGTGATATATGTATGATTGCACTTCACTAAAAATCCACAAATTCACAAATTTGAAAACATCAAAGATACAACCTCCCTCCCCCCCCCAGAATGGCTAATCAGCTTTCTGAGTTTGTTAAAGTTAATTTTTGCTAGTTTCAGCTTCATGGTTTAGTGGTAGACTTGGCATTGCTAGGTTAGCAGTTGGACTCGATGATCTTAAAGGACTTTTCCAACCTAAACAATTCTATGATTCTTTGGTACTAAATACTGTGTGAGAAGTCTTGGCTTCTTTGAAGTCAATGATTTAAGTGTATTACTGTCCCACAGAAGTGAAAGGTGTCAGTTTTCAACCAGGGCTGAGATTGCCTTATTACAGATTAGTTATTCATTCCAATGCAGTCTTTCCCAGCTACAGATCTTAAGTATCTCCAAACCAGAGATCCTTGTGTAGTGAATATAAGCTTGTTTGATAGCAGACAAGGTAGTGGGGAAAAAAGTTGAAAACTGTTACTATAACCTTTTCTTTGTTCCTGAATTCTTGCTTAAGATGTGGAGAAGAGCCATCAGAAGAGTATTGTAACTCCTGAATCTGCACTGCAGAGAGCAGTTCACCATTGGATCTGCAGAAAACTTGTGTATGCTTAGATGCAGCTGGTGCCCTTCTGAAATATACTCTCTCTGAATTGTTTTGTTTTGTGTGGCAGATGTCTGAGGCTATTTGCTGCCATTCCAGTAAAAAAGGGACTCATTACAAATCCGGAGTCCGTATTGACACATCTACGCTGAAGCACCATCTGGAAGCCATTTATTTGGCACTGTGTAGTAGTGATTGCCATCTTTAAAGCTAGTAGTAACTTCAAGAGAAGCTCAAGGGACTCATTTCTTCACTGTGTCCCATGTAACTAAGTTAAAGCACCCATTTAAGAGACTCTGGTGGAGAGAGTAAACATCCATAAATACTTAATGCTGATGTTGAAGAGCTTGGATCTTGTTCTAGATTAAAAGCTCCTATCTAGTTAAAGATTAGTTATTACAACTGAATAGATACAAGTAATTGTACAAAAAATGCATTTAAGATATAGCAAACTTCCTAACTTTGGATAATCTCTTTATTCTGGTTTACCTTTATCAAAGAAACTATACTAGCGCTTTTTCTGGCACTAAACATATTTCTGGACATAACTCAAACAAACTGCAAACCAGCTGATTTATTTCAGATTGTAATTTTTAAAAGCTCTTTTCATTTCCTAATTTAAATTCTTTATTAATCTTAGTAATGGTCATCTATGCTTGTGAGCAAGTAGTTTAGGAGCTCTTTAAAATAATACTAATTGGATGGCTTTTTATCTTCCTGACTTAATAAGTTTGAGTGTGTCTTGATAAGTGTCCAAGATTTTTAGCTTGAACCAATTTTAATTCTAAATCTCTCCATGATAAGTAATTGTTGGGGTTTTTTTTTAAAATTTTAATTGTAATAACACCTTCCTTTTCAGGGAATGTCTTGGTGAAGCACATGAACCTTGTGACTGCCAAACCTGGAAGGACTGGCTGCAGAAAATATCTGAAATGAAGCCAGAAGAACGTAAGAGTCTTGCCTAGGGAGGGTTAATTTTTTTGCTGTTGTTGTTATCTTTTGGTTTGAGGGGGATTTTTTAGTTGTATAAAACAAAAACTCTACATTGGTTGAAAAATAGGGTAAAAGGAGAAGAAAATTAAACCCCTGAATGAGGACTGCTTCACACTTTAACTGCATATTAGGCAGCGCTATGGTAGGCTGTTCTTTGTAAACCATTTCTCTTCATAAATCCATGCGTGGTTCAGTCAGGCCATACAAAACTCTTTTCACTTCGTCTTACAGCTTTTTTTCATGAATTAATTGATTTATTCCTGAATATAACTTTATTTGTCCTGGGAAATTTTAAACCTTTTAGCCCAGTCTGCACTTCTGTTTGAGTTGTGTTCCACGCGGTTGTTCATGTATTCTCAAACCATTCTCATGTAACTCAGACTGACAGTTGATAATAACATAATAAGGTTGAGGGTGAATTGCAAGGGAATTGTGAGGAATGGCTTAATGATAAATAACTTTTACTGAAAAAACTGATCAATTCTGGGTTTACACAGGACAGACATTTTCTTGGTCAGCATTAACAAAAATTAAAGATTGACAGTAATTTGAATAAACACTAACTTAACTTGGTTACCACAGTTCAGAGCCTTTCCATAATATGTTGTGAATATTCTGGAAAGCATACAAAATTTTGTAAAGAGACAAAATACACCATACTTTGTCAAAATATGCCAGTTTGTCTCATATATGTATTTTCTTATTTAGGTATTATAAATGTCATATATAACATACATAAATTTGTATAGAAATGTATGTGTGGAAATATAAATAATATGTGTAGTAATACATATAATATGTATAAATTAGAAAATGTATAAATTTTTGTATGTGAGAAATATATATATAGTCAAGAATTACAGTAGTCTGTCAAGAAACAGGTAAACATACATCTTTCCTAATCTATTTTCACAGAAGATTACACAAGTACGATTTTAACTTCTCTGTTTTTGCATGCTCCATATTCTCCTGTCACCCTCAAAAAGTTGTGGGAGTGAGTGAGGCATATGAAGATGCTGCCAACTGCCTGTGGTTACTAACGAACTCCAAACCATGCGCCAACTGCAAATCTCCAATTCAGAAGAATGAGGGCTGCAACCACATGCAGTGTGCAAAGGTAAGAAAGACCCTTAGTATAATTTGTTGTGAAATCATAATTCAGGTTGTGTATGTCATGTAGAGGTTTTAGGAGCACAGATGTCCAAAACCTCTGCAGTGTCATGCCTGAGATCTAATGGAACCTGTTGCAAGAATTAAATAATTTGCAAATAGCAGGTTATATATATTTAGAAAATATAAGTTAATATAGTTTAATATTTAGTGAAATCTGTTTGGCTGGCAGGTGAACAGTGTAGTGATTTGTCATGGTTTAACCCAGGAAGCAGGTAAACACGATGCAGTTCGCTCACTTGATCCCCTCTCTCCCCAATGGGACAGGGAAGAGAATTGCGAGAGTAAAAGTAAGGAACTCATCAGTTGAAATAAAGACTATTTAATAATTAAAATGAACCAAACTGAAAGAATAATAATACCAGTGAACTGTAATAAGAATAGGAATAGTGATAATAAAGCAAAGTTAAACTCGGCTCACAAACAGCAGTCACAGGCTGTGCGCCAAGGACAATGTGACAGGGTAAGCCTCAGGAACCGAGACCGGCTGCCATCACGAAGTAGAAGGGAAGGGAAGAAGAGGTCAAAGAAAGGAAGCAAGGGGTCGTCCCCTGCAAACGTCCACATTTTTAATGAGTGTGATGTTTATGGGATAGAATACATCTTTATACATATTTATTGGTCAGCTTAGATCGTACCCAAATGATCACCTGTCCCCGAAAATCCTAGGCTTTCGCTTCCCCCCACATCCTCTTGAGCAGAGAGAAGAAAAAAAAAAAACCAACACCAAATTATACAGGTGCAGGGGAAAGACTAAAAAATAAACCTTGAGATATGTAAATATCTGCTGTCGAGAATCAAAACAAAATCAGCTGCTATAAGGAGAATAACTCTATCCCAGCAAAACCAGGACGTGATTGAAATTTCATAAATGCCTAAGAATTACTGGCAATACAGTATGAAACTTAAGGAAACAGAAACAATTGATAGTCCAATCATCATTAATAACGTAGAAGAAAAAGAACATTTTTAGTTGTCAGAAGATGAAACATTTTATTGAAACATCTAATGAAGGTTTTGCCTTACTACATTTTTCTTTTGCATTATTGCTTTAACATAGCAACAAACCAGAGGAGTTTAAATGGAAAGCTGTGAACAGGAATTAAACAGTAGGAATGAAAAGACAGCAAAGAGTAATTCCAAAAGAAACTTTCAAAAATTCCAAAATTCCAAAAAATTCCAAAACCCGCCTGAACGCCTTCCTGTGTAACCTCATCTAGGTGTTCCTGCTCCGGCAGGGGGATTGGACTAGATGATCTTTTGAGGTCCCTTCCAATCCCTAACGTCCTGTGATTCTGTATGATTCTGTGAAACTTATTGGTGACAGCAGCCAAAAAATTATGCATGAGTTTGCACTATGCTACCGAAATAGAAAAAACAAATTAGTTAAAAGCAGCATACTTAGAATACCATTTTCTTATGTTGGAAATATCTTATATAACTAAGGATAATACCTCTTTGGGGAGCATCATTAAAAATAAGAAAGTAGCACACAATTGACGTAGTTGGCCTCCAATAAAAAACTAAAAGATTTAGAAAGTAATTCTCTTTATTTTTCTAGAAATGTGTTAGTCTCTCTCCGTTGCTATGCAGATCCCATTTTCTTTATATTACCATCACATATTCTCTCCCCTTCTGTGATATGAATTGACAGCTGGGGCTTTTTTTGGTGTCATATCTTTGATTTTGTCTGTGGCAGCAGAGAACATATTCTCCTCCACTTTGGTTTATGCCAAGTTTGCTGTTTGGGGTTTTTTTCCCTTAAATTGTTTTTGAAAGAGCTCACAAATTCCACAGCGCTAGAAAACTGTAAAAGGTATGTTTGTTGTAGCTTTTGCCACTGAGCTCATCTCAACTGAACAAAAGTATGGCTTCAGGCTGAAGAAGACTTTGGCCATTAGACGCTGTTAAATACAGATAATATGATTCAGTACCACTCTGAGGCACTGGCTGATAACAACAGTCTTCTTTTCTTCTTTGATGCTGTACCTTATAAGTAGCTTAAAGTGTTAAAACAGACAGATTCCTTTTGTGGTGGAGAAATCTCTGTGAACAGAAGCTGCTTCCCCTCAGCCTAGTGAGGAAGGAAAGGAGGGGTATCCTTCAGCTCGTCACAGGGCTCAGATCCACAGTATAGCGGTCACCTCGCTGGTGACCACTTACTCCACTGAGTAAGGGTCTGTGATGGAGCTTCTGCCTTGGCTGCAGTAAGGTCTGCTCAAGCCTACTACTTGGTGAGCTACGACTGCCTCTTAGCAGCTAGCATGTACCTTCGTGTAGAGGAGGTTACCTCTTCACTCATAAAATCACATTTCTGTACTTCAGCAGGCATCTTACTGGTTTGTGAGCCTGGTTTCTAAGGAGACAAGGCTTAGGCAGTCCTGCTCTCTCACTCCCTTACCTGTAGTAATTTATTAACCTTCAGGGTACTTTGAACCAGATACGAAGGAAGGGGAGGGGGTTCACAATTATTAAATTACTGTACGGTGCAGAGATTTAATTTGTATCACCACCAAGAGAGAAGCTGAAATACCAATTCAGCAGTTACCTGCTCAGCAATTACCTCTGCTGCTTGGCTCAGATGGTGGCCAGGCAGCAGATGTGATTCGTTAAGCTTAGGCAGTGCTGCTGCATGACTTAGTGATCATAAAGGCACGTAAAACAGAGTTCAGGGTTTGGGGAGATTCATAGACACTCATGATGTTATTGTGAATTTTTAATGAGAATGAGGAGTTGGAGGAGGGTCTGGGGACACTGGGTGAATCTTGGGTTATTGAAGAGACTTGGAGATGTAAGAGATTAGAGAATACATACGGCAGAGTGATCATGGAGGGAGATAATTTGGGGGAAGTGAGATTGTTGCAGTAGGACTGCATACATGTGAATTAATAGGAAATCAAGCTTTATTAGTTCTGTTGTTTATGGAACAACTTGTTTCATGTCGTTTTTTGAAAATTTTGTAATTATTTTTTTCTTACAACGAATATGAGTGGTTTTGAGTGACAGGCAAATGATGCAGGGATACACACATAACATGTCTATACACAACTGTATGTGTAATTATGTTCTGGTTTCTTCTCTCTTGCTTTAGTAGTTGTTACTACTATTTTGCATGAGGAACACCACGTAACAAAAATACCAAAAATCATGTTCTCTTAATTGATATTAGGAGAAAAAATCACCCTTTCTCATTAACAGTTTCTGTGTCACTTAAAAAATGAGACTATTTTTATTAAACAATAACAGAAAACTAGGCCTGATTGGCTACATTTGTCATTGATTTATTTCATCTACTCCTACACAATCTTGTGATCCAAGGAACAAAAATTATGACTGACATGGTTTGACAACCTAGATCTTCTGCAGTAGGTAAAACAGGGAGGAGGCTCCTCAAAAATTGTTTTAACCATGATCATACTCAGAATAATGTTAATTCAGTTTTTCATGTAGGAATAACGGTGCATAACTGCTAATCTACAATGTGTCAGCTGCTTTTATTTTCCCCTCTCCTTGTTCCGTTTTTTTCCTGAAGTGCAAGTATGACTTTTGCTGGATATGCTTAGAAGAATGGAAGAAGCACAGCTCTTCCACTGGAGGCTACTACAGATGCACTCGCTATGAAGTTATTCAACATGTAGAGGAACAGTCCAAGGAGATGACAGTAGAGGTAACAAATGAATGTGTGTGTTTGAAAAATAGTGCCAAATATAGCTGCAATTTTCTATTTAGGGTAAGTTTCATCAAAATTCTTTGAAACCCAAGTTCTCAATGGAAAAATACAACCTTAAATGCAACAAAGACACAGGAAGAAAACATTGCTTATCTGTGGATAGAAACGTAAAATTTGGTTCTGCTTTTGGCTTTGGTAACAGCCACTAGTTGACTTTACTGAAGTCATTTTACTTCTCTGTGCCATGGTTTCCTTTAGCAAGATCCATGTGCTGGTACTGTAATTAGCTGCTATGCGCTACAGAAGACATACCTTAATTCTGGTGTTTGGAATGTCTGCTTGAATAGCATGCACACACAGTGCATTAACTCTTCGGTTGCAGTATACATTTGTCTCTTTACTTACATGGCACTCATCAGCATTGTGTACAATACTTCATCTATACTGGGAATAGAAACAGTTGGTTATGTAATCATATCTAATTGTGATTCCTAATTAAATCATGAGATTTATCTTGTTTTCTCTTGTTTCTCCATTATTTTTCAGGCTGAAAAGAAACATAGAAGATTTCAAGAGCTTGATAGGTTTATGCACTATTACACAAGATTTAAGAATCATGAACTTAGCTACCAGGTGTGGGTCAAGCCATTTTTGCTGATTTTTGTTTCTATTTTAGTAATCTAAAAATAATTAACTTGTTGTATTTTATTTATTTTCTAGTTAGAACAGCGCCTTCTAAAGACAGCCAAAGAAAAGATGGAGCAGTTGAGTAGAGCCCTCAGTGGAAGTAAGTATTTGCTGTGATCTCTGAATTTGATGTGAAGTCAAATCAACTCTGTTTTATGGCTAAACCTTTTTTTTTTTTTTTTTTGGCTAGAGCTCACATCAGTCTGCTCTGTGTTGTGATCCTTCCAGTACTAGAATTCATAAGCAGTGAATGAAAGCTGAATGTACAGAAAATCTTATCTATTCCAAAGACTCAAGGAGAAAGTAGCACTAGTAAGGGAGAGGCTAATATTCTGTGCTTCTTTTAGTAAGAACACTGTGTAGTCATTGAGAACCTGCTGCTGTTTACGTGCAAAATATTTAACTGATGTGCACATAATTTTCATTATTTTGGAGGAAAATTCTCACGCTAAAAGAAATGCTGGCATCATCAGGAAAATATTTTCACAATGCTTGTTTCATCTTACAGCTGAGGGAGACTGTCCTGATACCACATTCATTGAAGATGCAGTGCAAGAGCTTCTAAAAACTCGCCGCATTCTTAAGTGTTCTTATCCATATGGATTCTTTTTGGAGCCTAAAAGCACAAAGAAAGAAATATTTGAACTTATGCAGGTAATATATGCATATATTTTGCTTTTCAAACGTTACTCTTTTTTTGTAATATTAGTTATCAGTGTCTTTTTGCCTTTTTTGTAGTGTAAAACTGATATGCCCGTTTTGTATTTGTAACCAAGTTTGGAAAATTAGTGTATTTTTATTACTCTGTGACACAGTAGCTTTTAATTCCATTTCAGAATTAATTATAAACAACGCTTTGCTGAAAAAGGAAAGGGACAAGGACAGGTGGAAGGGGAAAGAAAGAAAAATACTTACTGTAATCTCCTTTCTGAGGATAACATTTTAGCTTCAGTCTTCATCTCCTTCCCTAGCATCTCTTTCATTTCTTGCCCTACTAGTGCGTGTGACAAGTGGATGGGGTCAGAGTTGAGGGAGTACCTGGGTGACAGTGGCATCAGCAGCAGGGGCTGCTGCCTCCTTTTGTTTCCTTTAGGGCCCCTGAAGATGTTCAATACGTGTGAGTGCAGGGAAGCCCTGCTCTAAGGAGGAGGACAGCGCTTAGGTCAGTAAAAGGGTAGGCTAGAAGGGTAGACATTTGGGGGTATATTTCAAATTATATTTCCAGGAAAATGGATTCTGACCATTCTGCTCAGTCTTTATGGTGTAGAGCTCCGCCCGATTTTCATTTCATTATAATATTATTTTATCCTGTATTTATTAACTGTTGCAGACAGACCTAGAAATGGTCACTGAGGACCTTGCACAGAAAGTGAACAGGCCTTACCTTCGGACTCCTCGCCATAAAATCATCCGTGCAGCTTGTCTTGTGCAGCAGAAACGGCAAGAGTTCCTGGCCTCTGTGGCCCGCGGTGTTGCTCCTGCAGACTCGCCAGAAGCACCCAGGCGCAGGTAAACCCAACAAAATACTGTGCAAGTCAAAGACGTTCATTGATAGCTGCCAAAGTGGGTGAATCCACTGTTGTTCTTTGGCAGCGAGGTGAAGCGGAGCTGATAAACGTGGTGGTTGTAAAGCAGCAGACAGTGACATTTTCTTGGACATTTGATCCTTGTGCAATTACTGCTTTTCACTGAGGAAAAATGTATTGGGAAACCACTGCTCTCTGAATGTTACAGCCTAAATTGCTTCCTCATTTTGATAGATTAATGATTAGATGTCATGGCTTCTGTTTGACTTTTTTCCTTCAAGATTGTCACTAAATACCTGGTGTGCTCTAGAAATCTATAAGTATTTGCTAAAAATATCAAACAGTTCCGGAATAGTCAACATTTTAATTTTATGGTTTTCTAAAATAATTTTGAGGTAAGAATTAAAGCAGAAGACTTGTTAAGTTTAGAGAGTTACAATTGCACTACTTTTTAGATGTTGATTCGTTTTCAAGCTCTGGAGGTTGTTCATACTTTGTTCTACTCTAAACTTTATGGTATATCTCTTCATTTTATAGCTTTGCCGGTGGAACATGGGATTGGGAATATTTAGGATTTGCATCCCCTGAGGTAAACTATTTCTTTTTACTTTTTTAACTTAGTTCTGCATATTCTAGAAACACAGGTATGACAGCAATCTGCATGAAGAGCTTTTTTATTTCGGTTCAAAGCGTTTCAAGTTGGTTTAAGCTTACCATTTCATTTATTTCACAATAGAAGGAAATATATGCATAGCTAGTTGCACAATGAGTCCAAACAATGCCTCTAACAGGGCTATAATTATTTAAGGTGGCATTAGACAAGTTACATTGTATTCATCATTTTCCAAGTACATAACCAGTTTTAACATTGTATATAAACTGGAGTGTTTGTGCTGGGGAAACTCTAAGTAATAAATATATGAAATTGTGTAGATTACTTTTGAGTGCAACATCAGTTCAGCAGAATTTGACAGAAAATCTAAGACATTTCCATCCTTCTGTAACAATCCAACAAAAACATACAGGCATACACATAAACATTGTTAGCCAATTTAAATGTTATGTTTTATTTTGATGTATTGAAGCAGGATGGAAATTACATACTCAGATGAGATGGACTTCTGCTACTTAACTATGAATGAAAATTACAATTTTTAAAGTAAATGTTTCACTATCTACATACAGGAAAGAGTAAACAATTTTCAAGACTGTGCACTAAAATATGAGAAGCTTCCTATAAAGCTTTCCTTTATAATTTTTTATTTAATATTTTGAGAACATTAGATTAAAGCGTTCAGTTAGGAAGGAAACTTCATTTCAACATTTCCTTAGTGCTGTTTTCTTTCTAGCTATCCATTTTAAAGCATCCTGGAAAACTCCATGCACTTTTTCTATATATTTCCTTTGCTATTGTTGGTGAACATCATGCTGGTGAGAAAATAGCTTGCTTCTCTACAAAAGATCAGCTTGCTTCTCCTGTCTAGTTCTTCTAGTCCTTTACATAATTCCACATTTGATAATATCAAACTCATTGTGATGTTGATGTATCATTAGCAGAACTGGTCATGAGAAAAAGCTGATAAGAACTATGTTGATAAGCTGTTTAGCAGTAGGTGCCATTGCAGTCGTGCTTATATGATTGCTTTTGATTTTCTTTGATTTCCCTAAATGTGGCACTGTTATGATGCAAGTTGGTTTCTTTGCTGTCATAGCTATCAAGGATACTTGCAACCACCTATGCTAAAGGAATTTTGTAGAATTAATAATTGTCATCTTTGTTTATTTTAATAAATTTCACTAAAAAATTTTTGACATAGTGCTGTACTTTTACTGACAAGTAGTAGAATGTCTGTGTATACCAGATTATTATAGAAAACAAAATCTTACTGGTTTTAGCAAGGAACGCCACTTGTTGTAGACCATTGTGTGAAACCATGAAGTTCCTACCCAATAAAACTCCTTTTGTTCACTGGTATAAAACTGTTCCAAGTAATCAGAAATAAAATTTTATCAGTAGTAATCAAGTTATCTTTCTAAAGGCTATAGTTTAAAAATAAATCAATTACATTGTTTCATATCAAGAGTTGATCTGTTGTTTGGGCTGCTGCCTTCCATTTAGGACATCCCTCAGTTCCCTAGGAGCTGGAAGAATATTCTAGAGATGAATCACTTTATCTTCACCCTGGTTTTTATGCTGTTCAATAGGCAAACAAGCATCTAGTACTAACCGCTGTGAAGACAGAATATTGGGCTAAATGGACCTTTTGTCTGATCCAGTACAGCTATTTTTACATTCTTACAGTTTTCATGAATCTTCATACGTAGATAAAAATCTGCCCACACTGATCATTTTGTGACTGTTCGTTTTGGCTTGCATGTATAATTAAGCATAAGAACTTGATCTGAGACAATGGAAAGACAACACACCATCATAATACCATCAAAATTAATAAGGTCATTGTGTAAGAGAAATGACACTTCTGGATTTAAATTTTAGATATTTTAGATGTTGAGATATTCTGGGATGAAGAGTTAATATAAGGAAAGAAAGCTAATGTAATGTTGTTTGATCAGATGAAGCCTTTGGATTACAGATTTCCCAACCTGGGACTTAGGGAAGAAAATAGCAATATCCTTTTCCATAGAGAAGAGCTATTACCTGTGTGTATATTTTTATTGCCTTGTGTAAATGAATAACTGAGATTAACAAGAGGTCTTACCCACACAGTCAGGTTCATCATCAGCTCTACTAACCAGAAAGCATATCTAGAAATTTGCCTTCAAGCATAAAATTAGTCTCTTAATATTAGGAAAGGTATTTTCCAAGTATTAAGATAATTAACCCTTGGGATATTAGCTTGATGTGGCCAAAAGTGAGACTTTTCCATAAATGTTATATATACTGTCTTTGGCAAATACACAAAACATGAGAAATTACAGGCTGGAGGAGTTCAAATCCATATGTTATGGCTCATCAGCAGCTCAGGTTAGGCAACAATAGAGAAGATTTGTAATTCATGGAATAAAAATCTGTCAGAGACTCTTCAGTAGAAGAGTGTCAGCTGTGGCGTAAGAAGTTCCTGAGCCACAGTGTCCCGGAGGCTGGAAAATGTATAACAAATGCCAGTGTATGTCTGCTAGCTTTCTATAGTGTTCCAAAGGTTATTTTCTACTGGCAACTGTTGGCAACAGAGACCTTGAGATAATCTATTGGTCTAATTCAGATTAATTGTTTTTACCTTCTAAAATCACTAGGTATATATTTATTGCAAAGTGCATTGATATGTGTGTATATGAAGATTGGCTTCAAAGCTTTTAAATGAAGAATGCATCCTTAGAAATCTTTAAAAAGGGAGATTGCAAGTATTAAAATGTCAGTAATACATCAAGTATTTTTATTTGCTGATTCATTATTTTATAGATTTAGGATTACCTTGGATTTTTTTATTATTATTTATTTTAAGCATTGCATGGTATAACTTGCAATTTATTTTTCTGAAAACAAGTGATTTTATAATAAACCTATAAAATCACACATTTTTTTATAAAAATGTGGTGCTTGTTACATCAGAAAAATATTTCTGCATGCTGCCCTGTGTTTTGTAACCTTTGGTTTATGCAGGAATATGCTGAATTTCAGTATCGGAGGAGGCATAGACAGCGTCGACGTGGAGACATGCACAGTCTGCTGAGTAATACTCCGGACCCTGATGACCCCAGTGAGAGTACATTAGGTATGTTCCTGCCTCGGGCTGGTTTTTCTCTCTTCCTATTTCAGAAATTACTAGCAGTGACCACAATGTTTGTTCTTCTGTGGATGCACTTTAAAGAATTTTCAAATACATTGCTCTATACAGGATACAACATAAAGGCTTATTCTTGTCTTTTTGTATATGATCTCCCCTAGGCCTTCTTTTCTCAAGGCTGAGAGAACTGAGTTTTGTTCAGCCTTAAGAAGGCTCACCATGTTCTGTTATTTAAAGTGTGGCCACAAAGATGGAGACTCTCTTTTTAGACAGAGTCACATGGAAATGACATGGAATAATGAGTCCAAGTTTCTCCTGGAGAGATTCCGATTGGACCCAAGAGGACAATTTTTCACGATGAGAACAATCAGCCATTGGAATAATCTCCCCAGTGAAGTGGTGGATTCCCCACCATTGGACATATTCAAGATTCAGCTGGGCAGGGTGCTGGGCCATCTTGTCTAGACCATGCTTTTGCCAGGAAAGGTTGGACCAGATGATCCTCGAGGTCCCTTCCAACCTGATATTCTGTGATTCGATGAAATGTTGCTGACTTCATTGCAGCTGCTCCTCTTTTTAAAAAGAAATGCATTGATCTTCCCACTAACGACTCCTCAGCTATTTAGTGCAGGTTTCCTTCTCTGAAGAAATTTTTAAGAGCACATACTTCATCCAACAGTCTTATCTGTATCCAAGCTCCTTTAATTAAAAGGTACAGTTGTGCATAAAGAGTGTAGAAGAGGGTTCCCCGCTGCAGGCCTGGAAGAAGATAGTCCTAAGGCTGTATTCCAGAACCCTGCTCAGAAACTCACGTATTGGCAAAGACAGCCAGGAAATAAGTTGGCATGAGCTACGACTTCCAGCGTGCTGCTCTTCTAAGCAGCGCTATGGCTGGTAACGCAGTCGCTTAAGGTCACCGTGAGCTGGCTGTATGGACTGTCTCCATTTCGCCAGGAGCTTTTGCAAAGGTACAAAAATAGCTCAGATCCAAATCAAACAGTGATGCTGTTTCATCGGAGCTGCCAGTTGTGTGCTCAGGCTCTGGGCCACGCTGCACAAACTCTTACCTCTGTGTTTCATGAACTGAAGTCCTGTACATAGCTTGTCCTTCAGAAACAAAAGGAGAAATCCTTTACTGAAGAGAAATAAACACGTGCATTCTTCGTTTTAGAAACAGTAAAAAGAATTTTGCTGAGCTTTGGTTCTTCCCTGTTACAAGTAAAATGCAAAACTATCTTGTTATCTTGTGGACTAGAATTTGACTGAATGCTTGGATATTGTGGTGATGACCAGTGCATATTGTGAAAGCGTGCAAGAGGGAATTAGTTCGTCTCACCTTATTTCATTTCGAGTTTTAAAGTGGAAAATTCCGTTTTCCAAAGGAACTCCAAAGAGTTACATTTATTTTTATTACAGAGCAATTTTTCTGGAAACAGCATTTTTTTTTGTTGGTTGTTTTAAGAACATAGCAATGTCAGTGATTGCTGAGGTATACACTAACGACTCAGTTGTGTTGCAATGTCATGGTAAAAATTAATGTAATGTCAACAATACAACTAAGTTGTTGCCTTTGAAAGAACAGAGACATGGGGAAACTTTGGTTGTAATCCACCTGTAAATGCTTACTGTATTGTGTCCGTGTGGTATTATTCAGGACTTCCCATAAGTCATGTATGTGCCTTAGAAGCACTTTGCCCCTGCTGCCAACGGGCTCATGCTCCGGCTGCACACCCCATCCTTTCAAAGAGAAGAAGGAGGGTACTGAGATCAGAAAGGCACAAATGGTCCAGGCAGTCACTCCTGAAATGATGGGACTGGTGTTTTTCCACTGTGTAAGTGTTGGGGTGGAAGGAGTGTTTTGGATTATTCCATTCAGAGTGAATAAAGGGGTAGCATTGCACAGCTGGAATCCCAAAGGAAGGGATTCTGTCAGTAAATAAGAGTGGAGAAGGCTTCCTCACTGGTTCTTCAACCTTTTTTGTTTCAATTGCCCAAACAGACACTCAGGAAGGTGGCAGTAGTAGAAGACACGGCACCTCCATGGTGAGTTCAGCTTCTATGGGTATTCTGCACAGCTCTTCGCTTCATGACTATACCCCTGTCAGTCACTCTGAAAACCAGGACTCTCTTCAGGTATCTCCCTAATCTCTTTTCCATTCTCTCTGCTTTGCTTGCCTTCCTCTGTTCTGCTTTTGTGTGTCATTTTGTCTCTCTACAATTTTTCTTGATTCTTCAATGAGAAAGGGACAATCTAGGACAAGAAATTACACATTCACACCGGTAAGAATTGCTAAACAATCACTAATGTAACAAAAGTTCCCTTTCAAATTATGTTGTCAACTGTGTCAGTAAAAAATGATTCTGATAAATGACATGTAGGAATAATGACTGAATTTCAGATTTGAGTCCAAATTACTTTTCATCCAAAACATGTAACAAGATGAAGGTTTTATTCTGAAAGCAACCTTCTGTATTTCCACAGGCTCTGAGTTCTTTGGATGAAGATGACCCAAACATCCTGCTAGCTATTCAGTTATCGTTACAAGAATCTGGCTTGGCCACAGATGAAGAAACTAGAGACTTTCTAAATAATGAGGCATCTTTAGGAGCAATAGGTACCTCTTTGCCTACAAGACTGGACTCTGCTCCCATAAGTATAGATAACCCCAGAGGCGCTCTGAGCAGCTCCGAGCTGTTAGAACTTGGTGACAGTCTGATGAGACTGGGTGCAGGCAATGATCCTTTTGCAGTCGATCGTCTTCATTCACACCCCTGCAGCGACACCAGAAGTGGATTATACTCAACATCTAGTGACGCTGATTCCAGCAGTCAAGATCCCAATACCAGTGAAAATCTGCTTGGAAATATTATGGCCTGGTTTCATGACATGAACCCACAGAGTATTGCTCTGATCCCCTCAACAAGCACAGAAACAGATGAGGAGTCACAGCAACCCAGTACTGAAGATGGCTTAGCAGGACAACCAAATCTTATAGACACAGGGCTGGAGCCTCAGGAAGAGCATGCACTATTTGAGGATGCACTCAAAAATGAAGGCCGAGGAACCCAAACAGAGGAAAGCACTTCTGAAGAAAACATTATTCCAGGTGAAACGGTATCGCAAAGAGGTGATAACAACAGGGAGGCAACAAGCACCCTGGGTCCTTCAGGAGATGCTTCAAGTCAGACTCCTCAAACCTCAAGTGAATGGATTGAACATGTGCATCTGGTATGAATAGAAACTAAACCTGGAGTAAATGCATGATGGTGACAGATGGTACAGTATGTGGAGTAAGCATTATGGAGGCTTTGATCCACATAATTACAGCTCAGTTGTAACCACTGACGTAACAACGGATATTTAGGAGTTCTCTTGAATTGTAGTTCTTTATAATAATGTGAACCTTTCAAGGAATATCCTTTGCATTTAATTAGGTAGTACTTGCCTTTTTGCTCTCAAGAAAAAGGAATAAGTAGGTTGTATTCCACATTCCTAATACAATGCAGCATCTGTTTAGCCTTAGGTTGATGATCCTTAACTTGAAAATACAGATTAAAGGCTTACACTGATTATTTTGGTTGGTTTTCCTAAGAAAGCGTTTATTCCATTTTTTAGAGCTCATTCTTTCACCAGAATAGCATCTAGCAATTCATTTGCTTTTTTTTTCCCCCATAACTTTTCCTTACTCATTTTTCATTTTTGTTAGCAGTGTGAACGGAGGTATTTAATGCTTCTCTTCAGTACTGCTCCAGGAACAAGTTTTAGGGGATATTCTTTCCCATTAAAATCAAAGATTTTTCATGTCTATTTACAGTCCAAACGTGCCAAACTGTGAATAGTTAGCTGGCAGTAGCCTCACGAAACAGTGCAGTGTTACTCTATCGAACTAATCCCACAATTCTTAGCAGTGAAAGAAACCACTGGGTAGCATTGCTTCTCTAAATTTAACTGGCATGTGTTGCCATGGTGACTGCATTTAATTAAATGTAGCCTGTATCTTAAGTTAATAAAAACCTAATGCTGCTGTTAAACAGTTATTTTAAATATTAAAATACAGTGAGTTAGCAACAGCTATGCTGTATTTTAAGAGACACTTTAATGGAAGTGCAATCATAGTTCTTTGTTTTCATAATTCTGCGAAGCATTCTATGCACTAATAGTGCAATTACTTTTAATGATAACATTTTATAAAAATATAGGAATACAGAATTTTCATATATTAGCCAGTCCCACAGTCAAAGTTCAGATAACACATTCTGCTCGACATGTTACGGTGCCTTTGCCTAACCCGACTGGATAGTTGCCACAGTTAAACAAGTAATTCCAATTCAGTGTCTGTTCTGGAGTAACTATGCTATTAATTGCAAAGACCTCCATAAAACCACCCATGGCCTTGCCTTTACAGTAAATAACTAAATGTTCGGTCAGTGTTTTTGCATAAACAAAACACTGGTAGGTATTTGTTCAATTGCACAATATTCATTTGCTGTGTGATTACTGTTTAGTGTAAAAAACAATTTAAAAAAGGAAAAAAAACCCACAAAAAAACCTTTTCCTAGTTGTTGTACCGTGAAAAAACAATACTGGTTTTAGATTTGCTTAAAAGCATCAATCTACAGTTAGTGAGATACAATGGTACAGTATGTAATTACAACTAGAGTAAGTTGTTGAAATGGCTGTTTTAATTACATATTATCAAAACTTGCCATAACACAAGCAAATTACATACACTCCATTTTCAGTTTTGCTTAACTGTTACCAGAGATTTGCTGATATGATATAAAAGTTTATTACTACTGAGTGTGTATAGGCAAGTGTCATGATAGCAAAGTTTATGTATTGATTACTGTGAGTTCAAGTGAGTGTTTTGGTAACTAACTCATGCAAATCCAGCTTTGAACCTTGCAGTCACAAGGTTCGTATTAGTGAAAAATAAAATAAGAATATTTTACCCTTACCCCATCAAAACCTAGCTCATTTTGCAAGCATCTTTAGAGAGGATGGAATAGAATAGCCTCAGATTATTTTCCAACTTTTCCTCTAGCCTCCCGACATAATCATGAACCTTTGGACATCTTTGAAAAATACCTATTTTAAATTGTTCTACGATATAAAATCATTCAACTACAACAGTTCTTCATGAACTATCATCATAAATTGGTCTGAAAGTTTAGCTCACATAGCTTCCTGGAATTGTAATTTCTGAATAGAAAGATGCTGACAAAAAGATTGTGTATTGCATTGAGATGTCTCGCAAAGTTACAGTAAGATATGTAAGAGTGCTCTCTGTGAAGATAGTGAAGTTCGTGGGTTCTGGTTTTTTGTAATTTGGTTAGCTTGTGCAGTATATCCATTGTTTCCATGTTACTCTTACGAGCATGAAATTAGCCTATTAAATTTGTATTTTCTTGGTACTTATTTTAACACCATAGTCATTGACTTTACAATTCAAAAATAAAGTTTGGCAAGACTATTTTGTAAACCTGTTAATTTTATAATGTAAAAAAATTACTCTAACCTTGAATTGTTATTTGCACTTTCATAGTCTATACTTGATACATTCCCACTTTATATACAAGTAGGATACTACAACCATGTAGATGTTTGGCCAAATGAATGCTGTTAATAATATGTAAAATTCTTTGATTAAACATTTATTACTTAAACTAATTCTGTTCTGTCTCATTACATCTTAGTCTTACAGTAGCAGATTCTTAAGACTGATGGCAGACATTTTTAGGATATGTTCCGTCCTATGCCAAATTAGCTGGGGACCATGTAGTAAGCTGAATGTTTTGATTGGTAAATATAAGGTACGTATATTCATTGTGCTTTGAAAACGGAATCAAAGATAGACGATTTTGTCTTAATTGCTACAGCCATCTTATGCACTTATTTTTTGTAAAGAGTAAAGCCTTGTCATTACAAATAACAGTGCTAAAGAGAGTGGGAGGGGACTGCTTTTTGAGGATCCTGTTAATTAGTGTTACCTCAGTGCCACTTAATACCCAGTCTGTATTGCTACCAGGAAATTCCAGACTGCCTCTGTTACATTAACAGGCACTAAACTCTTCTGTTCATTGTTACAGTATTTACAGTAATTTCATTAGCTTTCTCCAACAAGCACACCCAGATGCTGGAGAGCTTCTAAAATCTCATCAGGTTGGATTAGTCACTGCACGGCACTTCCCATCGCCTGCTGCTGTGGCGTCACAGCATATGCTGCGATTGGCAAGTACTGAGTTTTACTAAAGATCGTGAGTATCACTAGAGAGATTTTTGGGCGTATGGCAGCTAGAACATAGTAATAGATATAGAGATTTAAAACATGCCTTCTGAAGTGTTTAAAATCACAACAGTATGGGTCAAAAGCAGACACCCCCACAGCCCAGTTTCAGAGATCTGTTTATCAAGGCCAATTTCACTGCTACCTTCTCCTCCTCTTCCCCTCTCCTAGCTCACACAACGTATCCTGCTGTAATACAGAGGCTGGTAAGGATGGAAGCCAAATAGGGATATAATGATAGTTTCTCTACTCAAAATTGTCTGCTCAGAATTAGGCAATATACTGATTATTGCCCTTATTACTCTTCTGTAGATGGAAACTTGAAAGATGTAGGGAAGCCAGTGATGATGCAAAACTGTCATTTTTACCATTTTGTCCTTTCAACTGAAGAGTAAAGCACAGGATGTGCATCAAAGGGAGGAGGTGGAGCCCCTGTAAATACTGCATAAAGCTGTGTTTGCTGTTAATCTTTGCATGAGGGCAAAGGAGTGAATGGAGCAACGCTGTTACGCAACACTGTGCTTTCATTCCACTTCAGAAATTGGCGACTATAGAATTTATACTGTTCTCCAAACATATAACCACATAAAACAACTTAAGTAGTTCATTAAAAATCACTAAAAGTGAAATATCGAAGTAAAGAAAAAAATGTTTCCTAACTTAACTGCAAAGCCCTTTTTCCTCAACTCATCATAGATACTTAAACTTACATCTCACCAACAAAATGTTAAAGCATATTGTTAACAGGATGGTGTTACTTTTAAATTATGCAGGTCTTGATCTTTACAGAAATCCTTTCTGCAGTGAAATATGAACTTGAGAAGGTGTTTTGCATATATATTTTTCTTTGTAGGGCATTTGCATGAATATTCAGATAAATGGAATATAAGCAAGAAAATAATATATCCAGATAGATGTTCAATACTGCAAATATATAATTTTCAGGATTCAGATTACATTGGTAGATTCTTTGATGGTTTAAATAAAAAACACATTTACTCTATTTGTACAAAGTTAACACAATATATACGGCCCAGAAAGAAACATTCGCATGTAGACCTTTATGGTGTATATAATGTTTATTCATTATACAAGGAGATATTTAAGATCAAGTAACTTCCCCTTGATGCACAACCAGTCTTGATGGAATTTTGCACTTCCTACTCCAGGTCTACTTCAGAGTAGTGTTTGAGATTTAAACAAGGTAAGTGGGTGAGATAACACCAGAGCTGCACTTTCTGCATGGACTATACTAAAGACTGCTGTTCCAGTAGGACATAACCTATTTGTACCTACTGCTAAAAAGTAAAGGACAAAACATTTTTCCTAAATGATCTTATTCTGCTCTGTAGACTCACACTGGAAATTTTTACACTGAAACAATAGCAATTTCTGTATGTCCTCTTACAATTTCCTATTACATTGCTGTTTTCATCCATCAGCCCTTTAAGTTTTGCTTCTGCTGTATCAACACAGCACAGCATCCAGTTCCACCTCTGAAGACACTTCAGTGAACTCGGATAAGGATGAATCTGCATTCCTTTGTAATAACAAAGTAGAGAAGGGTTGAAGTTCACTCACAGAGCCAGACAAGGAATAAAAGAGGGACTGTAGGAAAAACTCCTGAACTCAACCATGGAAAAATATCCTATGCAAGTGTGGTCTGGTTGCAGAATCCAACAAATAGATCAACATGCTGCAAAGCCTCATGGAGAATGAGGTAACATGCCACATGCAAGTAATAATTGTGCAATACGTTTCAAGAATAGCATCCTTTTAAGCTATGGGAATTAAGAGAATAAAACCTTTTCTCACAAGAGACCTGGTAATTTCAGAACCTTACTACAGGACCATGTGGAAAAGCAAAGTGCAGCAGCCAGTCAGATTCATACCGAATTACATGCATTTACAACACAAATATGTCTGGGGAAGCACTCCAGGTGCATCCTCTGCAGCTGACTGTAGAAGGGTGACACACAGAAAATCAGAATAAAGGATCCTTCAGATGTGAGCCAGCAAACTACAGGATCGCAGTATGAAGCTAAAAGGAAGCAATGCAGTTAAATTCACTGCAGAATTATTCAACTACTTAAACAGGAGATGCACAGAGCGTGTGTGGATGTGCTTCATTTCCAATAAATAACCAGCACCTTCCCTGAAAGCTCCCATGAAGAAATGGTTCTGCACCAACAGCCAGTGTGTCACTAACACTCACACTCACACTCCCCAGGTGGAGCCAGTATTTGGTGTCCTACACTTCTCTGTCCTATTTACATTTGAAGTCCCTCAGAGCACCAATGGGTTTTGATGACTCCAAAGAGCTTAGCCAAGAGTCCCCCTTTCTTTTCTGGAGGCAAAAATAAAATAAAGTGGAAATATGCATTAATTGGAAGAAGGTAGATTTACTCCCCAGCTTTAGCTGAGCTTACACCGTGCAGAATCCCTCAGCTAAACTGGGCACTTCCAATTCCATCAGGCCACAGTCTGACAGGTGCCTCTCAACCCCCTTCAGCTTCAAAGAGTCTAGTTCTATTAAGGAGAATCAGGAAACTGTAGAGGATGCTCAAAATTTAGGATCAACACTGTCAAACTCGGGATCCTCTAGAGAGGCATCTAGAGAGGGGTACTTTAAGAAGTCCTGAGTCCCTGTCCCCTGCTACCTGTAACTACTGGGCATTCAGCAACACTGAATAAAGACTTCACAAAGTATCAGGTACTTAACCGGGCAGAAATGAACACCACCACTCATTTCTACCCCATTTCTGTGCAGACAAGTGATGCTATGGCAATGAGAGAGCACTGAGGGGAGCCCAGCAGTGGGGATCTTCTGAGAGCGGTTGGGAAGCAAAGCAGGCAGAAAATGTAATAGAAGTAATGGGAAGAGTTTAAAGGTCTCTGTGAGAACACTGGCCTGCCAGATAATCACATAAAACTACAGAGGGATGGATTAAGGAAGCAGAAAAAAAAAGTAACAACCCAAGAACTAGGAACAGTTTGAAAGGAGATGAAGGTAAAAGAGGTTTTAAATAAAAATGTGGAAAGAAATTTCGCACCTGGGACAAGAAAGTCAAAGCTGGTATGAGAGAGAGGAGCGCAACAGGATAAGCCCATGAGTCAGTACCAACCCAGGTAAGCCACAAGGTAACTGGGAACTGCACCCTCCAGCCACTGCACGCTGCATGCGAGTGGACCATCTGTGAGCAGATCCCTGCAAACCATGTCCA